CGCTATATAACTCTATTTCATTTCTTTTTTTCATGGTCCACTTCTTTTTCTAACCCTTTTAATAATCACCTCCAACCCTAAAGCCAGAAGAACATTTGAAATTGAAAAGCTTTTTCTCTGCTCAAAACTTTTCAACTTTCTTCTATTGGCTTCCAACATTGCTTTTACTTGTAGAAGCATCTGATTGTTTTTTAAAGTCCTCTCTCTCTCTCTCTCTCTCTCTCTCTCTCTCTCTCTCTCCATCACATTTCTCAGAACAAACACACACACACAATTGTGCATTGAATTGCCCATGTTCCCTGCTCTCACCACCTTTTGCTCATCAATACCCTCAAAACCGAAGTAGTACCCCATCTTCACCAAACCCTCTTTAATATCACTAATATCTGATCTCTCTCCATTCTAGCTAGTCTCATTTCCAGCAAGCTAGCATGGCTTCAAGTAGACGAGCTGTAATTCTACTTGTATGCCTCTTCTTGACGTTCATCTTCACTAATCTTGGCAACTGCCACGCCTCAAGAACCGCCCAAGTCTTCAAGCTCAAGCCGAAGTACCAGCATTCAGGCCACTTTACGGGGTTCTTGCCAAGAAGGATACCTATTCCGGCTTCTGGACCCTCAAGGAAGCACAATGATATCGGCTTAAGAAGTTGGAGATCACCCTGATCAATATTGCCACACCAGTTTAATTTTTGACAAAAAGGTGATCACCTGGGATTTTCTTTGTCATCTTGATTAATTTGTTCTTTCTTTAATTTTCTTCACAACAAACATGAAGATTTGGTGAACAATGTACATGGAATTGTCAAAGGGTAATTAATATTTTTGGGCTGTTTTGATATGACAATGTTTTTAATTAGTTTGTTCAGGTTTGGTTTCTGAGATCTCCTATAGATGTATACTAGGAGAAAGACTGTTTGATTTTATCTTCTTCTCTATTTTTTTTTCTTTGGGGTGTGCTTGAGCAGTAGACAATCAACAGCTTCACAGGAGCTCTAATTACTGATATGATATAATTTTAATGTTATATTCTGTACATTATAATCAAAAGATACATAGTTTCTACATGGAGAAGCTTCATATGTCTTTTCAAATATTTTTTCTTTTTTCCCACCCTATTCACAGTCCCTTTGGTGAAATAATGAAAGTAATTGGTAGGTAATTATGCAGATTTCAATGGAGTAATGGAGTGGAATTGTCACCACCATTTGTACTATAATTGCAAATTTGATAGGAGTAGTTGTATATCCAACAGAATCACGTAATACTAGTTATGATGAGATTTTAACTATAATGAAAGGTATATTGTATGATTAAAGAAGAAACAACTACCCTATCAGAGGGGTTGTCTAAGCTTTTTTGAGAAAAGAAAGAATTTGAAGGACTAGTCTCACTCACTCAGCATGGCGTTGGCGACAAATAAAGGTGACATGACCCCTAAAACTAAACACGACACGACATCATGTCATACCTCTATTTAATTTTTCTTTATCTTCGATATAGGGTAATGCGAAAGCTAGTGGCATCAAACTATGAAACATTGAAAAAGTTTTGAAGTACCATTAAGCATGTTTATCAAGTCCATAATGGGAATCAAATAAGCAGTTGAATTTTGATTATGAATTACTCCTTTATTACCTCAAATAGCGGAATGAAAAAGTAAGCGGGGTCCATATAAAATTCAGAATTTAACTCATGATTTTGGAGGAATTGAACTCTTTTGGATCGTTAATGCTATTCAAAATCAGAAATCCATTTTTTTTTTCCTATTATATCATCACACAAATTTTAAAATTCCAAATTTGTCATCCATTTGAACCCAATAATTTATCTATAACAAGTGCATTTTAGTAATCAAACTAGTTTTAATTCCGACTAATGAGAATTTAGTAAACAACTTATAAGGAATCAATACAATTCCTATCCAAATTCGACTCCTCCTCCTAACCCGATTACAGATTAGTAAACATGTTGAGAAACAATAATTTAGAATCATGAGGTAAAGGGATGATAAACTTATAATTTAAATAAAAAATTTAAAGAAAATAAAAACTTATCATTTAAATAGTAAACATATCATATTTTTCTCTTTTCTCCCATCAATAGCTGCCTCACATGCATGACATCTTCAAATTTCTAGTATTTCTTATTTAATACAAAACGAGATAAAAACATTATACACATTTTTCAGTGGAAATCAAGATTCTTTTTCTTTTAATAATGAGAGAAATACCACTGCCCTATAAGGTTCAAAATTAAGTGTTGAATAATATGCAACAAAAGATAAGCTTATAATGTCATTTTTCTTCATGGGTGTATTGGCAGATTGTTCAATAATGTTTTGGAATAATCCATAATCGTCTACTTTGTAACCAGATGCATGCTCATGTATTGATGAACAATTTCGAATTATAACCAATTTAATTCACATATAATGAGGAAATACGAGGAATAGGTATATCATCTTTCTACTTATGGTGTGCAATCATTTTAAGGATAAGAAAATGAATTTTCGTAATGGATAGCAAATTATAACAAGTGCAAGAGCAAAAGAGATACTCGAAAAAAAGGAAAAGAAGGCTACTCAATGTTAGCACCATAATACATATGTGGGTGTGCTGATGATTTAGAGTTGTGTTATAATTTGTGGCTTCATTGGATTCTATTGAAATCTGGAATTCATGAGGGATTTGATGATTTTTTTTGTTTGGCCATCCATGTGTATACACATTGATATGTATTATTATGATTTTGATGATGTCTGTCTGTATACTGTGATTTGTGGTGTATTAATTCATCATTGTCCTCCTCATTTCAAGTTACGTTATTGGCTCATTGCTTCTTCAACAACGAAAAATAATTACCATGGATGTATATAATGCATTACGTAATTTATAAATTGCCAGGTATAATAACTCAGTTGGTTAAACTCATCGAACTACATTCATATAGACAAGTTCGAAATCCCTAGATTGTATGAGGAAGTTATATTAAAAATCATAAATCGAATTACAAGGTGGGTATAAAGCCAAATCACACTCAACACTATCCTTAAAAAAAGGTGTCCTGAACAAAGATTAGCATGGACCCCGTACTAAAATCTCAGGCTCTATCTATCATCCTGCCTCACACTAAAATAGTAGCTGCAGTTTGTTCCCTGTTTCATGCCAAAAAGTAAACTAAAAAGCCGAAAGCTTCAAAAAATAACTTTTTTTTTCCCCCTTGTGACTGAAAAAGTTACTCAACGACATTACAGGGCATAACAATAATTAGGCAAACACTAAAAATGTGGGGGCCAAAATTTACTGTCAAAAATGGATATCAGATTAGAACAATCCAAGAAATTATGCATCATATAAAAATGTCACTAATCTCTAATCATGAGCCTCCAAACTTAAGACGCTTTGCTTTTACCACGTTTGTCGTTTAAAGAAGGTGAATAATGAACCCATTTGATTGTTTAAAATTAGCTTCATCTATTTTAAACAACTTTAGGAGGTGATGTAATGCCAATAGATAACACCATGCTTTGCACAATTCAAGGGGAGGCCCATGATTTGACACAATAAATAGTGTTATTCCCTTGATATGATCAAGTGAGTTTTTAGTGGCCATTGATAACAACAAAGTAGAGTAGAGTGTCTTGAAGGTCCCACAGCTAATTATAAATGGCTACAATTGCAGTGGATTCTTTTTTGGTTTTAGAAAAATTTTAACGCACTATCAACCAATTAGAAAATGACAAGCGGTTAATTTTAAATTTCTCTTCAAATAGGCTACAATTGCAGAGTGGATTCTTTTTTGGTTTTAGAAAATTTTTAACGTACTACTAACAACCAATTAGAAAATGACAAGTGGTTAATTTTAAATTTCTCTTCAAATAAGTTCTATATTGTATAATATGTCGTACTAAAATGGATCTATTAATGAAAAACCCTATGTTTTTCGATGCAAGTGCTTTGGATAGGGCTTTATGTTTGGTTTTGGGCTTTTGTTGTATTTGGAGTGGGCCTCTGGGCTATGCGCTCTGGATTGGCATGTTTCTTCTGTTTTACTTTTAATTTCTTTTTGAGTGAGGATGTTTCTTCTCTTGCTAGACTTTGGTTTGAGTTTAGTAGTTTCATCCTCCTGCATGCAAGAATTCTATAGTGAGGACATTATATACGGCCTTTGGGTGAGGTTCTATCTCTTAATCATTAGATCAAATTGGTTAGTCATTGAATCAAATTAGTAAGTCTCATCCAATAGTTAAGAAATAGAACCTCACCTAAGAGCCATATATAAGACCTCACTATAGAATGACTCCTCTGCATGTCTTCTTGTTTTCTAGTGTTGTATCTTGCTTTGGCTGGTACCATGTTCCCTTTATGGGTTGAATGAAGTGCTTTTTTTCGAACAACAAAAACAAGAGTGAAGTGAGTAAAGATTGGATGAAAAAGGGTAATACGGATTGTTTGTAGGTTCAGGGTATAGCTATTGCATCTGGTGAGAATAATTGATATTTTTTTTTTCGAAATGCTTTTTGTGAGTAATTATCAATTCACATTGAGGTAAAATGAACAATTCAAATTAAAAAAATAACCGTTGGGTCCCAAAAGTAAATTGATGAATCCTAATAGAATTTTCCTTTCTCAACTTTACAATCAAAGGCGACACCTAATATTGTTTCTAACAAGATTCCTCTATCTGTGCTGTTGTGTGAAATCTAAAATTTGGTGATTTCCTTAAAACGGAGGGCTAATGGAGTTCGCATGGTAAGAATTTCATCAGTTCTTCCTATTGATGATTGTGCTGTATAAGCCTAATTTTTTTTTAATGATAAAGGAGCTGAAATCCTATAAGCCCCATTTTTTATGTATCCTCGGTCCCCTGGATAATATTTTGACACCTATCCCTCTAATTTAACTTTGTTGTGAGGCGCCATGCTCGGTTTGAAACCCCTAGGCACCTATTGCTTGTACTAATTTTTTTTTATTTAAAAATTGTTCTGAGGCATAAAAAGAAGAAACCCATTTAGGCTTTTGCTTGCATCATCAAAATATTGTCTGATAAGTTATGAGTTGAACAAAAAATAACCAAGAAAAACAAAGAAAGCAAGACACAAACCAGGTCCTGCTGCTTTGGCAAAACTGTTTGTGATTTCCCTTGGATGACGATATTGTAGCAGCAAAGCAAGAAAATTAATCCTTTCTGCAGCAGGGTTTCACACAACATTTCATTCCCTCTAAGAACAAATGGATTGTCTGGTCCTTGATATGCTTCCGAGCTGAACCATATCTTGATCTTGACCATGCAGAATACAATACCTCTGCACTTTCTGTGAAAAAAACATTACTGCTAAGGTCAAGAAATCGCAAATTATTCGCCATACCAATGGCAGTTGAAAGCAAATAAACTGGAACTCAGCAGACAAGGATTTTCTTTGGCATATGCTTACGCAGCTGTCATCGACGCCAGATGCAGCAGCTTCAACTCTAACTTCATCATCTGCACTATCACCAAGTTCAAGCCGAGTTGCTGAACCATGTTGAGCAGGATTAACTTTCTTGGATACCGATACTGCCAGAGAAGATTCAGATATACTAAGATTGGCATTATCAGCAAGATTGAGCTCCTCAAGAAAACTATTACCAGCTTAAAATATCAAACCAACAATTCATAAGTTCATTTCTAAGGACTAGTATATTGAGTACTAAATTGGCCTAGTGTGTGAACCTGATTTGAAGAACTCCAGCAACTCCAAGCTCACACCTCTGAAGGACCAAAACTTTCAGACAACAATGCGAATTTGAAAGCATTGACGATAACACATTGCTACCCTGTGTTCATAGTTGAGGGACTTGAGTCGGGCTAGTATAGCAAAATCCTCAAGTAAAACTAAGTACAAAGCAGAGAGTCTTGGTTGGGTAGGATTTCAGCAAGAAACTCCCTCATAACAGAAGGCTCTTTCTCAAGTCAAAATAACAAAAAGACAAAATGGCAACGACAACATTCTATTGAGAGCAGGGAACATTGCATAGTAATCAGGCTTTTTAACAGCCAGTTCAAGTTTATCGTTGAATATTTATATATTCGATGCATAGCCTTTACATTCGGGTTCACTCTTTCATGCAGAATTCACTTGTGGTATTAGAAGGCAAAGGTAGACCACTAGAGGCTTCAAGAACAAGCAAGGGCAGATTTTCACAAGAGGCAAGTATGCATATGTGAACATGTCTGTTCTAAATAGTGGCCTGGCTTGCAATTGAAGTCGCATTTGCTCTCTTGCTTTGTCTTATTGACCCGTCTGTTGTATTTCTGGCTCTTGAAGGCTTTCCAATCCTTGTTCAAGGATTCCAATAGGAATTGGTACGCCATGAGTACGTCAAAGGAAAGATATGCCTCTCTTATTGGCTATGCTTACCAAAGATTTCTCTCTTCTTTTTTTTTTGTTTTTTTTGTTTTTTTTTTGTTTCTGTCTTTTTTCGGTGCTTTCAGTGTATTTGATATGTGGGTCCAAGAAAGTGCAACAAACATAATGCATAATGGAAGGCTACGAGAGAGGGGAATGGACTAAGAATCTGATGTAGCTTCAATTAAACAACCTCAAGAATATCAGGGCAACACGTCTAAATGTAATTTTGAATTCCATTAACTAGATCAGCTATTGATTGAGACAACTTAAATGCATCTGTATGCAGACTAAATTCACAGGCATTGGAGCTATAAAACAAACACATCGACTATTTTTATGTTCAACTCCCATACTTATCATATGATTCCCATTTTCAGACACATATCGTCATTGGCAACCTGAACATATTATGTAAAGTAAATGTCTGGTAGAAGGTGGTATGACCACAAATTATGAAACCACCGTTATCTTTTGTAAAAAAAAATCACAATTATTTGCTCTCTCCAGCAATATACAGAGTTGCAAGCAAGTCACAAACACAACAGGTAAAAGAATTAGCAAAATACCAAGACAAAAGAACAAACCTCTTGCATAATAGGATTTCCTGAAAGGTTCAGCTCAAGAATGCCACAAATCATAGATGAATCAGTGCTTAGTTTGAGAACATAAATAGATGTCACTCCGCAATAAGATAAGTCAAGTTTTACAAGATCTTCAGTCCCATTGAACAGTGACTCATTTAATATTAATGTCCCATCCTGCAAAAGTATATATAGATGAACAAAATTAAATAAGAGCAGCTGGAGAAATAAGCCGAGTGGCTTTCAAATTCCAAAAGTAAGTTCTAAAAATGATAGAGTTCACTTACAGCTCCAATACCAGTTTCCCCATGCATCAATACTAATAAGGACAAGGTTTTAGCAATGTGGCAAAGGCTATCAACTGCAATCTAGCTTCAAACTGTTCAGATTTAAATTTGAAAATCTACAATAAGCGACTGCAATATAATATAGTTACAGCAGTTTAAATATAATAGTCACGCCCAAAAAAAAGGTTTACTTAAGTATAAACATTTTCAGAGAATCAGGTTTGAGAAGTAAACTAGCAATGACACTTCCAGAAATTGGGTTATATCATGTGAAAGAAGAATAATTTTTATTTATTTATTGTGAACTCAAATAAAATTCAAAAAAACATAAGAATCTTGTACAGATTTGTCAGATACAGAATACACCTTAGTTGCCTAACTCCAAGTCGTTAGTGTGTTGACTTAACCCATAACGTAACGGTAAGAAAAGAATACCCTCAGATTCTCTTGTAATTACTGCAAAAAGATTCAGTCTATAAGCCCCAAGTTGTTAGTGTGTCAACTAGTTGAAAATGCAGTTTTGCTCTAGTACACAAAATTGTATTTACAGGGTTTCTTTTGCTCTACCATCCCCAACAAACCACCAGTGATAGTGATATATACAACTATCTTCAAGTTCTCAATCCTGTTGTGGGCGCCCTTCTCCCCGGGGCATTTTCTTTGACATCGAATCTTCAACATCCTTCAGCTGGTAATAATGAGGAGCTATTTCCACTAACCACTCCGGCTTTAATTCTGTTACCTGTCTCATATATTCCTTGGTTGTAAGTACCAATTCATGGTATATAACCCATCTCGGAAGCACCTGTGACAGCCCTGAGCTGGGATGTATATGAACAGTCTGTGGATGTTTGACTGTTCTATAAGATCCATTCTTTTGAAGCTTTGCGGAATGAGGGAAGAAGCCAGATGTAATGGCCTTCTTTATGGTCTCGTAATCACTGAGATTTGAGACCAGGTCAATCTCAACCCTCTCCAAGAGTCCCTCAAGCTGGTCTCTAATATCTCTAGCACGCTTCATGCTCCTCACCTGTATATAGTTTTCATAACACCACTGGGTTGAGAAGTTGGTCTCTTTCCATGAGTTATAGACCTTGAGCAATGCAATGTGATCTCCCACATTCCCGGTGTGAAAATTCAAACGTGCATTGTCAGCATGGACTTGTTTGTCCTTGGGACGGTAAAAGATGGAATTACCAATGGAAAGCATGGCGGCAACAGAAATGACTTCATCTGAACACTTGTACTTATCAGAAGCAACTATCATCTTAGATAGCATGGGATCAAGAGGAAACTCCGCCATCCTTCTACCGACTTTAGTCAACTCACCCACTTTATTTAATGCACTTAGTGCAAATAACAGTTCCAGGGCTTTCAGTAATGCTTCAGATGGCGGAGGGTCCATAAAATCAAAATGCAATAAGTCATGAATACCAAGGCTCTTCAGCGTAAGCACAACATTTGCAAGATTAGTTCTTTGTACTTCTGGTACTGTGTTATCATCTAAATCATTGTAATAATTGTAGGCAGTATATAACCGGAAGCACTTTCCAGGACCTGTTCGACCAGATCGACCTGCCCTCTGCATTGCTGATGCCCTTGAGATGGGAGTAACTAGCAATGACTCCATTCCAGTCCTCGGGTTATACGACTTCATCTTGCAAAACCCTGGGTCAATAACATATTTGATCCCATCAATGGTCAACGAAGTTTCAGCTATATTTGTGGCAAGGACAACCTTCCTTGCCCCATCAGGTGTGGCTTCAAAAATTTTTGCTTGCAGCTCAGTAGGTAGGTTTGCATATATGGGGCAAATAATCAGCTCAGCAATTTTTGTCCCTAGGCCCCTTGTTCTGTGCTTCAATATTTCTTCTGCTGTTTCAATCTCTTCCTGACCAGTGAGGAATACCAATATATCTCCAGGTGGTTGCGTCACATGGATTTGAAGTGCAGTGACAATTGCTGCATCTAAGTAATCGGCTTCTGGTGCTTTCGTGTAATGGATATCAACAGGATACCGCCTCCCTGGAATTTTGAAAATTGGAGCAGAATCAAAATAATCACTGAACTTCTCAGCATCAAGCGTTGCACTTGAGATAAGCAATTTGAGATCTGGTCTAAATCGAGCAATATCCTTCACTAGTCCAAATAGAATATCAGTTGAGAGTGTTCTTTCATGGGCCTCGTCCACCATCACCACACTGTAACTCGCCAGATCTGGTTCACCAAGGAATTCTCGCAACAACATTCCATCTGTCATATATTTCAAAACAGTCTTTTCGGATGTGCAATCCTCAAAACGAATAGAATAACCAACCTCGTGCCCAAGTTTGACCCCCATTTCTTGAGAAACCCTTGCAGCAACACTCATAGCAGCAACTCGCCGTGGCTGTGTGCACCCAATCTTTCCACGCTTTGTGTATCCAGCCTCGTGAAGATATTGGGGTATCTGCGTAGTTTTTCCAGAACCAGTTTCACCAACAATAACCAGAACCTGATGATTTTCAACAGCTTCAAGCAATTTATCACGGTAGGTGTAGATGGGTAGTGTTTTTCTGTCATCCTGGAGATTCTCTAAGCCCAATTTCGCCTTCGACCCAAGTAACTCAGAGGGTTGCCTGTCATCATCAAACTCATCACCATCCATAACTGATGCCTTGATAAAATCAATCTGATCCTCAAATACAAATTGATACTCATCAGATATTTGTTTTTTGTTTTTTGAACCAAATTTCAGCGTTGCTTTTCCAATTTGGTGATCCTCCCAAGCTTCCTGTTCTGCAAATGGGTTCATTTTATCCCCAGCACTGAGGTCCCTGTATCGTTGCACAGCCACAGAAAATCTCTTTTCCTGATTAACACCACCCTCCTCATCGTACGCATCTGGCATCCTGTACTCAGTGGTATCCTCACCCTCATCTGACCTCTTCTTCACCAGCTCGTATATTTGTTTCTTGTAGCTTAGTTCACTATATTCTGCTTCAGTGAGCTTCACGCCATCAAATAAGTATTGTTCATCCTCTATATCGTCTCTGATTTCCTCCAATTTCTTTTGCTCCCTCTTTTTGAGATATTCTTGTCTTGAAACTTTTCTTAAATCTTCGAGGTCATTCCGCTCCAATGCATTGCTTCTCCGAATAGCCTCCTCCTCTTCCTTTTGTGTTAATTTTCTCTCCGTTAACTTTCGTGTAGCTGCTGTATCCCGTTCCCTTATATTCTGCTCCAATTGCTCCCTCTCTCTTTGATCACGCAATCTTTCCTCTTCTGACTCTGAACCATCATCGTCATCTGGGGAAGAAGTTCGTCTTTTAACTCGTCTCACTTGTGCCTCTTGTGCAATCACCTCATCATCTTCATCTTCTCGACTTAAGACCTTCTTCCTGAATCGTTTCTTATGGGAATCAGCTTTCCTGGACTTGGAAACAACCTGGGCAGAAGATGTATCGCCATCATTGTCATCTTCGTCATCTGCATCCAAGAGAGAATATGTCTTCTGCTTCTTCACCAACATGGCAGCTTCCCTCTCTTGTTTCTGATATAGATTCAAACCAGATTCTTTACGAGGCACTCTTGCAAAGATGTCTTCAGCAAATGCACTTGTTTCGGCCGAAGATGACAACCCAAATTCTAATTCTACAAGCTTGCCCACAACATCAGCCGATGATTTTGCCTGTTTGGTTAACCCAATAATGTACTGAACAACAGTGGGCTGAGAATATCCGAGCAACGTCATCAACTTATCGGATACCCATGTATTCAGATTGCTCTCGCTCCCCATTTTTTCTTTTGTTTGGCTGAGAGAGAAAGGGATTGATTAGTCTTCCGAAAGAAAGTCTCTGTGTGAGCTTCGAGCTTCGTGTGGACAGTGCGGCTACTTCCGAGACCACTGTAAACGACCGGAGTTGACAGTCCGCCGTGCGTTCTATACAAGGGGACGACACGGGGAAAGAGAGAAAGGAAAGTTTGAGAGATTGGGCAGGAGGAGAGGAGAGAGAAATATATAGGACGGGCTTTCCTTACTTTTTATATTCCGTGAAAGAAGAGGAATTGACACAATCTAATATGAAAAAGGAGTCCAACTCCAAAACATCAATACAATACGATGAGCCAAACATACCTAATTTTATGAAAAGTTGTTCAATGCATCAGCAACCCATTGAAGAGCAGCCCAGCAATCTTCATAAGCAATTGGAAGTGGATTCTCTGGGGCAACTTGGTGGTCGAAACAGGCAGATTTACATAAACCAACTTGGGCGGCTCAAGGTGTTAGGGTTGGGATGAAACCGACGCGCTTTCCAAACAGGCAGATTTAGGAATTCACAGATTTAAATAACACAAAGACAAAACATTCGAAAATAGGTTAGAAAATAGATGTGTAAAAAAACAACGAAGAACACTTTCCAAACAGAGATCGTATTTGTGCAATCTTTTGCCTCCTCTGATTAGGAAATTGGATTTCTCCTATCCTTATCCGGTTTCTCATCCCAAAACAATATAAAATGTTGAGCCGTATTGACCCAGGATTTCAGTTTCTCACGTAATTTCTCTTATTCTCTCCTCAAACCACACTTCCTTGTCTTGCCACCGGGGTGCTGTCCGCCGTTTACACCACCCTCGTCTTTAAAAAATATCAGAACCCATGGATGTGGATGATGCAGTTCCAAGTAGAAGCGTCAATCGGACAGGGCCGGCTCCAGCACGGCACGATAGCCCGCTTAAATAAAACTCGGCACGACACAGTCGTATTTTTAATTAAGTTCAATAGGTCGGCCGGTCTGTAGTCCATTACGGACCGATCCGTTTGAAGTTCATTTATTAAATTAAATTTATTTATAAAAAAAAATAATTTATAATATTATTTCATTTATATTTTAAATTCAAGTTTATATATATAAAATAGTGATTTTGTTTTCAATTGATTTTATGTTTTTGCTAGGTAAGAGTTGTATATAAATAAGCAGAGTGAGAACGTTCACCTTTATAAAAGTAAATGTAGTTTGCGTAAATTATTGGAAAGAAAATGTTGCGTTGTGCTTGGACATACGATGCGAGTACATTCAATTGTGTGGGAGGGCAATCCTTGGTAAACCACCTATTATGCAATCCATCATCAAGACAGCCAAATGATACACAGAAATGTCTCCAAATAAAAGGCCAAGATCTCCAATTGGAGAAAGACTTCCAAAAATAACACTATTTTGCTATCCAAGCAAATAGTACTATGACACTCTATAATACTTTCATGTGACATAACATTATTGACCGAAAATAATAAAATAATGTTATTCTCGTTGCACAAGTTTTTCTCCTCCAATTGGCCTTCCAAACAGAGATTTGCCAGTTAAAATCTGTGAAATCACTATTTGAGCATATCATTGTAGTTACGCCGGCTGATTTCCATGTGATTTACTAACGAGAATCGGAAATCCAGTTTTACAAATAGATAGTTTAATGAGTATTACAACTTACAACTATACATACATTTTTACTTCATTTAAACTTGAAACTAGGAGATATTTCATCAGCGGGTTTCCAATTCCAAAATCCATCGTCTCTTCAACCTCCATAAATACCAACTTCCAAATTTAATTTTCACTTAAAAACTATTTAGCACACTCTTAACTTCCACAGGCCATGCAATCTTCCCGGTTTGTCAGAGAGCATACCATCTGTGCCTTTTGTGTACTAACATCATCAACCACCTCTGGCTTTTCCTGTATTCCCAAGCAAGAGTTATTAATACATAATTCTTATTTTTCAGTTCTAAGACATAGTTGATAGTAAACGATATTGAAAATTACTTGGAGAATGGGGGTGTCAACAGTAAACTTTATCGCATCGGCTGCTGCACGAGATCGTAGATAATACATCCCTGTTTTGAGACCCTGATATAGTTCATAGAAAAGAAAGAAATTAGAATGCGCTAAGAAAATAATTTATAATTTCACATAATACACAATGAAAAAGCCTGCCAGATCCATTTTCAACATAGCCAAAAATCAGCATTTATATGCAAAGTAATCGTTGCAACCAATTCAATGTCACCAAGAAAGGCCACCTCTAATATGTACAATGAACAAAACAGCTCCAGCCAAAATTGTCTCTATGCATTCAGTCAAAAAGATAACAAGACACCCTTCAATCCATGACATAGCAGATCATCGGCCAAAATGAGACACATTCTTGTACGCACCATCAAATACAAAAAAACATTTTGAAAGTCCAACCACAAAACAAACACATATACCTAATGATGCACACCCACATCACCATATCACAGACAGAACAAAAACATCAGAACTTCGGAAATTTACTACAAAGCTAGAATCAATTTGTGCATCTAAATCCCAAAGTACTAAGGTACCATTACAGGGAAAAGTAGCGCATACCTTTGACCAAGCATAGAAATGCAATGAAGTCAGCTTCCCGAAGTTGGGTTGGTCCATATGTATATTAAGACTTTGACTCTGGTCTATGTAAGATCCCCTATCAACAGCCATATCAACCAAAGTCCTTTGCTTGATCTCCCAAACAGTCCTGATTCCAGCAAAATGTCTAAGCATATTGTAGATAAACAAACAAGCTAATTTACAAAGAAATTTAGGAAATGACAAGTACATACCTGTAAATGACCTTCAGGTCATCTGGGATTTCTGGGATTTTCTGAACAGAGCCATCCTCATAGATTATATTATTCTTAATTGCAGGAGACCAAAGACCCATCTCAGTCAAGTCATGAAGAAGATGTTTATTCACCACAACAAACTCACCACTGAGAGAAAGGGACGAAACAGAAGCCATATACAATCAAAATGAAGTAATTTTAAAAAAAAATGAAAAAAAAATGAACAGAATGAGATGGCAAAGCAAACCTCAAAACCCTTCGACTGTAAATATTGGAAGTATAAGGCTCAAAACACTCATTGTTCCCCAAAATTTGGCTAGTTGAAGCAGTAGGCATTGGGGCAACAAGAAGTGAATTTCTTACTCCATTCTTTGATATCATTTCCCGAAGAGCAGCCCAAGCCCATCGATCTGAAGGGGTTACAGCCCACATGTCTGGCTGAATAATTCCCTGAACAATAAATAGGCAATTATAATCTAATATCTAGTATAATGTATCTGGGAACAATTACTGCCTGATATCAAACATGACAAACAGATATGCAAAGAACACAAAAGTTAATTGAAATGAATGAAAAGGCAAGTTCTCCACAAACTGCCTTAAAACCTTAACCATCTACACTCAACCAGAGAATGTTTAAGCACGCACAACAAGAGAGCAATAAAATAGGAATGTGCGAATAGAAAACCTGCAAAAGACAAAAGCTCCTTTTAGATTAGTACCTTGCTCACAGGACTTCCATTATATGTTTCATAAGGGCCTTCTTTTGCAGCTAACTCAGAAGACGCTTTCAGAGCATGGTAATATATGGTCTCAAATATGTCTTTATTCAGTTGCTGAGCCTACAGTTCAAAGTAAATTCAACTATGAAACCCAAATTATTGAAGATTTAAATTAAGCAACAAAATAGAAAACAGGACATACCTCAGGTGAATCAAAGGGCATGCCAAGCAAGATGAAGGTATCAGCAAGACCTTGAACTCCAATCCCAATTGGTCTATGTCGTAAATTTGATGTCTTTGCAGTCTCAACAGGATAGTAATTAACATCAATTATCTTGTTCAGGTTTGCCGTGACAATTGCAGTGACCTAATAAACAAAACAAGAGAAACATAATAAGGGCAATATTTTATTAGACTGACAGTTTCAAGAATTAAATAAAAATTCCCTTAGAGATTGAGTTTTGAGAAGAAAAAAAAAATTCAAGAAGGAAAACAAATAAGAAAACCACTTTGATTGGAATTGTCAATAAGAACTCAAATCAAACCTCCGCTAGTTTGTCAAAGTCAAAATATCGATTCCTGGAACCTCTGCTACCAACAAGTTTAGATGGATGTGACTCCACAGGGACACCCTGCAACATCAAAATGTATATGATACCACATCATGAGATCAAAGAGCTAAAAATAACAGTCAACAATTGTGAGTTTAAGCACAACAATAGGGCCTCACCTTCTCCCTAACATATCGCGGTAGAGCAATTGATGCCAGGTTGCATACAGCGGTCTCTGTTGGACTTGTATACTCAATTATCTCAGTACACAAATTTGAGGATTTTATGGTTCCCAGATTTTGCTGATTACTCTTCCTATTGCAAGTATCCTGAAAAGAAAACAATTACACAAAGAAGATCAAAATACTACAGAAACAAAAGCACATGGATTCAAGGCTGAGAATAAGATTTTAATAAATAAATCACCTTAAAAAGCATATAGGGAGTTCCGGTTTCTATCTGGGATTTCAAAATTTCAAACCACAGTTGCTGTGCCTGGACAACCTTTTTGGCCTTGCCCTGTGCAGAAGTATCATGAGTAAATAAATCCCAGTGGTAAGTGGCAGATCCAGGAATCACAAATTTTTTTATACAAAAAAAGATGCATAAAAAGACGTGTAAAATCAACACTAATTTACTATTTTCAAATCGGACTTATCTTACCCTACTAGAGCATATAAAAAAAGAACATGCTTTAAAATAGGCACATAATTAATTTAAGTAATAATTGTTTGTGCAGCTAGTTAAGATTATTGTGCCATGCTTCTAAAACATAATCAAAGGCTTATCATCCAGTATTGGACATACATTTCAAGAAATTAACAAGAATATAAAAATCACGGCACAACCACTCATGTCGAACACAAAATATTAAAGTTCAAGACAATAACCAATGAAATAAAGCATCTTCACCATGATCCCATTCAACAGAAACCAACAGTTCAGCACTGCTGAAAAATAAAAGCTTTTCAAATTGGTTTTTTTTTTTCTTTTTCTTTTGCAGGAAACATCATTGAGAAAGAAATAGTACCCAAAAAAATGTACACTGGAGCAAAGAAAATAACTAAAAAACCGTACTAAAATATCAACCTACATCTATAATAAACTTAAATACATCATAACACCAGCAAAGTGATATGGGTGGGTAGAATTACCGTTGGGGAATTGGGTTGCTTTGGGGAAAGTATGCTTTGAAATAGATTTTCGGGGTTATCAGGCCACAGCTGGCCCTCTAATCCCTTTTCTTTTCTTTCAAATTTGGGGGTTCTCGGGCCACAGCTGGCCCTCTAATAAAGCTATGTCGTTTTGCCCAAATAACTTGAAAAATAAGACACATGCAAGGTGCTGCTGCTGCGCAAGCTGCTACCCAGCCTTATTTGGGGCAACAAATCAAACAGATGGTGGGCATGACTTGCCCAGCCATCCACCACATGCAGTGGTCAATATGTTTTGCTCCAGGTGGTGGTTCCGGAGTTGGTGGGGGGTTTTCACCTGACCACCCTTGCTAGGATGAAAAGAGCACATATTAAGTTACCAATGTCTTGCCAAAGGAAATTTTGGTATACCTCTCTTTCATATCGGGTGTAAAGCTCTTCAAATTTTTCACCCCAGCAATCTGCCAAACCTGGAGACTCATTAGGACAAAACAATGACCAATTTCCATCACTTTGAACTCTTTCCATGAAGAGATCAGGCACCCAAAGTGCATAAAAAAGATCACGAGCTCGATGCTCTTCCTGCGAGATAATAAATTAGACATGATCAATATTAACTAACATAATGAAACAAACATAACTACTACGCACAATAGAAGATAAATTCTGGA